AGGATTTCATAATTTGTCAAATTCTGCTGATTTGAGCCTGTGATCCCTTTCACCGGTAACTAGTATTAGTAGCTCCATTTTATAGATGGGAAAGCAGACATACAAAAGCTAAATGGCTTTTTGAGGACTTTTTTTTTGACAAAGCCAGGGAACTATTTCAGATCCGTACTTGAAGTGCCAGGGCATACACCGAAAGCCACTCACACCAACTTCGGTGAGGCATTTAGAAGCACATTTAGAAGCAAGGAGGCAAGAAAGAGGGTTGTGACTGCAATTACCTCAGCTGGTGAGGACTCAGCAGGACCCAACTTTGGTGCCCAGAGCTCGGGTGGCCAAAGGCAGTGGCTGTTTCCTGGGACTGGAATTATTTCAAGGGCATCTAATGCCTGGTTGCTTTTTAGTGGTAGATTTGTCTTCCTCTCTTGCTGGTCACTGTGTGGCTACAAATAGGTCAATCAGTGGCTAACAAAACTCACAATGTCAGCAGCTGCCTTGCCATCTTGCTATAGGTTTTCAAAGAGCAGGACACTTCTTTCTGCCTCCTCCTTCCTCTTTCACTGCCTCATGTTCATCTCCTTCATTTCTCTCCAATCCACTTCTTCAAAGGGTAATAAAAGAGGTTAAAAAAAAAAAGGCAAGAAAAATAGCCACAAACTGCTGCATCAACAATAATAATATGCGATGGATCCTCCAGAACCTAAGAATGTGAGTCCCTAGAGAGGAAACCAAAGGCCAGCAATGATACAGGCTTAAACATCATGAAAAGCACTCCCAAAATACAGCACTGAACACACAATACGGCGCTGAGGATACAGACTTGGCTGCCGTTTATGGAGTGGGGAATACAGTGGCAGATTTATTCTATAGTAGTGAGAGTTGTTTCTTGGTAGTGTTAATACTGACACACTATCAGAGGAGGGCGGAAAAGCAAACACAAATAGGAATGATTCTCCCACTTCTCTGCCTGTCTCCTCCAAGTGCCCCCTATTCCTGTTCCTCTCTGTTCTCTTTATTTTATTCTCTACACCGTGAACCCTCCTTCCCCTCTTCTGATTTAGTTCTTATTCCCCCTTTAATTTAGCCTTCCCTTTCCACCCTTTCCTGCTGCGATTACTTGGTCTGAGTCTCTAGTTCTCTAAGCTTTTGCACAGTGTCTACAGAGACTTCTGCCTCCCAGCTCAGCTGGGTCCCCTGCCCAGCTAACCATCCCACAGCTGTCAAACACAGGCTTATCCTGCTCTCCCTGCAAGCAGCGTCAAAATTCCCACTGCACTCACTGGTGTGAAGACAAGGCCACAGGATAGGCCAGGCTGATTAGCAACTAGCTAGGAGAGACTTTTTAAATTATCCATCACTGTTAAAAGAGAAACAGCCTAAAAAGCATCACCATTATGGTACCTCATTGAAATAGAGAGTAGTGATGACAAGAACCATGCTCCTTCACAAGCAGTACCTCTCAGCTGGCAGTAGCTGAGATCAGAATGGTGCAAACACTAAGTTCATTTTACACCCCTGTTTCTTTCCCTCCCCATCTACCCTGAAGACACAACTACTGCCACATGCACCCTATGGTGTCATGTAGGAACTGAGGCTGCCTGACTTGGCCAAGCACACACAGGGAACCTGTGCAGAGCAGGAAATACAACATGAGTATCCCAAGCTGGCTGCTGAGCAGTCACCCCCTCACACTTTCTGCCGCTAAAGTGACAGATGGGGGCAATGAGCTCGTTCAAGGGCAGGTAAGGCAGCAGAAATCGCCAACACCTGCCTGCCTGCTCTTTGGCAGAGGGGAGCAAGCAGGGATGAGCAGAGCTGTTCTCTCCTATCCCTGCTTCCCGCTTGCCTCAAAACCAACTCAGTGCACGGTTGTTTATTATTATTATTGTAACGGTTATTTTCCAGAGTGCTGTAAAACCAGGGGACAGAGCAGCCTGACAGCCTCATAACAAACAGCGGATAAAACTAATTAGATTTTGTCCTTCCTTCAGTTTGCTGACTTGATTCTTTTTTATTTTTATTGTTTAATTATTTAGTTTTAGGCCAAGGGCTTGCACACACGGGTGTTTCACCAGGCACTGGCAAGGCATCCATAGGATCACCTCCGATGGGAAAGGCGATGGCAGCCCAGCCGGCCCGGTGAGCTGGCAGGAGGCAGAGGAGACAGAGCGAGCAGTGTGAGCCCCTGTGGCCACATCCTCTACCCAGGGCATGTAGAGCATGGAGAAGGGAGCAGGGAGCGCGCAGCTATTCACCGCAGCTAAGAGAGCCAGGGAGACAAAAGGCATCAGTAAAAAAAGTTAATGTGCCTGGCAGGAAACCAGGATTGCTTTAGCAGCACGGCAGACTATCCAAGTGCCTCTAGGACACCCTCTCTACTGGGCATTATGGAAATGTTTGGCTTGCATCTCAACCTGACAGCCTTGCTGACTCTTGAGGAATGACAACAGTGGGGAGCAGGGAGACTTCTCTCTCCTCCTCCCTTTAGCCATCAGCTGTTTCCAAATTTGGGGGGATTAGTCAGTGAAAGCAGGAAAAGGCACTGCCCTCCCTGCTCAGTACTTAGCGGGCTGAAGTGAGGTGACGTGCCTCAGCGCGGGGGACAACGGCCCCATTCACTGGGGAAATACCAAACCAGAATTACAAGTGTGCAAGAATAAACAAGGCTGGAGTTAATCTAAAGATGTTTTACACTCCGTTTTATTAAAGTCAATGCACTTCCGTTCTTCTGTGCAGAGCCTAGTTCTGCTTAATTACCATGACTCAGGGAGAATTTTAATAACGAGAGAGCAGGGCGCAGCGGAGGCCCTCGCCTGACCTCTAGAGGCCTGTCAAAAGAAGAAGAGCCTCTGCTTCCTGGAGAAGCTCTGAGAAGATATGGAGAAGTTGACAAAACTGCTTCTGCTCTCGGTGTCTATGTGCCATTCCCAGCTGGTTCATCACCAACCTCTTTAGCTACCTTTTCTCACTCCCACGTTATCAGTAACAGGTCGCTTACCTTGGGGTGGTGGGCTCGCCTCGCTGTCACCTCCGCCAACGTCCTCACTGCTTGCTGACAGTCCGGCAGAAACCAGGGAAGGTGCCCAACCCTGTCCTCAGCCCGTCTCTCCACACTGCACAGCAGCTTTTGCACAGCAGTAGTTGCTATGAAGGGACACTTTGGTCCACTTGACATTTACAGCACCTTTGCCAGCTCTTTCTACCTCCTGTACCTCCTAACACTGCTCTGTTAGGAGGGATCTGAGCAACAGTGGCTACTGTCCCTAAACATTTAGCTCACACCTCCATGGAGTCAGAATCTCCTACATTTACTAGTGCAATTCTCTCACAGTCTGCAGATAGAATAAATGGCAATATGGCAGAATTTCTCCATTGAACCAGATTCTCCATAGTGCAAGAACTTCAAAACAAAAATAGCTATAAGGCTGCAACTGAGCCATAATATTTACAGTCAAATTATAGAGGTGGCATTAAGAAAAAATGCTGATTTAAGAAGATTTATTTTCCTTTCTGATGGGAAGATGTACATCAGCAAACCTTGGTCGGCATCATTCTGCTATTGCTCTGGCAGGACACTGGTACTCGATGCAGAGAGGGAGGAAAGCGCAGGGCTGTGTGTGTACGTGCACATCTACACTTACATCCACGCACAGTAGTATTTTCTGCACTGCGTCCTGGGGCTGCGCTGAATCCAGAAGATCCTACAGCATGGCCTGTGCATACTGCAGACAGGATCTAGCAGAATGAGGGTGTTTTGTCATGCATACAAATGCTGGATTTTGAAGTTAACTAGGCCCATATATCCTCTTTTATTAATAAGCTTTCAAGCAATGTTGTACAAACTATCATAATGAGAACACCTGTTTTACTTCTTTCGTGTCCCTTCCTGTGAGCGATTCTTCTAGGAATATTCAATATTGTGTGCAACAAGCTCCACACCAAAGGCAGCAGAACAGGACATCTGCACAGAGAACACACACCATAGCTAATGAATTAGTTCAGATTAAGAAGTTCAGTTTATAAGGACCCAAGCTGCCTGTCTTTTGAGCAGACTATAAAGTGAGAACTAGACCTGTTGTCTGCTGGCTGAGATGTTAAAACACCTGGATGCTGAAACTTCAGCAGCACAAGAAGAAACTGTTCCTCCCAAGTGCAAACTCCTGCTGGGAAACTGCATTTAGGTTGTCTGGGAGAAAGATGCTTGGCCATATATCAGAAGAAATCTCAGTCTTTACCAGGAATTCTCTGCACAGACAGCATACAGATGGCAGGATGACATGGTACTTTTAGCCATATATTCAAGTAATGATAATAATAATCACTGACAACGATGGCTGTGTAAGCTGCAAATCTGTCACACACTGTATGTTCCTCCTCCTTGAGCCTCATAAAGGAGGCAGTGCTAGAGGTGTGAGATTCTTGCAGAATGCAGCTAACTCCATCTAGGTTTAAGGTAATTCCCTACATGCAGTAGCAGTCGAGGACCTCAGGCACACGGCTGGCTCTCTGTCCGTGTTGAGGTTCAGCAAGCCCCATCTCTACTCCTTTCGCCACCTGTGTAAAACTGAAGGCAGATGAACTCCAATGCTGGTGAGGTTTGCACTGCAAAGACACTGCTTTATTACCTGTTCTCCATAACAGAAGATTTTATAGAATCAGGATCTGTGTAGACAATTTTAAATAAAACTATTTTTTTCTATTTGAGGCTCAGAAGAGAAGCTGTTCTGTTCTGTCCCAGTCCTGTCCCACTTCTGCAAGTCACTGAGCTATACAAACCCTCCCTGTAATGTCTTCTATTATGCTGCTCTCCAGCATAAATGGGGTCCTGTAACCAGGTCTAGTTTTCATCAGTGGTATCATAATAAAACAAAGAATAATCTGTCACTGCAGTATACTTGGGACAAATTCACTCTTTGATATAGTCACCATTACTAATCCACTGCTGGATATTGGAGGACTCCTGGTTACTTCAAGAGAACATGTTTTCTCCTGCAACACCCCAAACTTCTCTCACTCCCAATAGTCTTTAAATATTAACTCTAGTTTGTCAGGATGAACTGCTATATTTGTTCTCCGCACATCCTGCTGGAAGGGTATCTTATAGTGACAGTATCATTTCACAGGCTCTGTGATGCAAATTCTGTACTTGAGCCCAACGGTTCAAGCATAAAAATACTCAACTAAGATTATGGTGGACTAGTTCATTTCAGTGCTGTAAATTTAACCCAGGCTTCCAGAGATACGTGTAAATATGACATTTTACAGTGACAACAGAGGACAAAATGAGAATGAAATGAATAGCCAGCAGTATTTCCTGACTGTAGTCAGCCCAGCACTGATTTTCCGCAGGTGAGGAGCTGCTCTGCATTGTCACTGGTGCATTCCTTGGTAGGGCATGGTGGGTTCCTCAGACTGTTGCCAAGATATGACTAGTTCAGACGCAAGTGCTGTGTGATCCAAAGCCTGTTGAAGATACTTGTCAAAATTCTGATCAGACAGCAATCAGACATGTGCTCTACAGCTCAAGACAAATGAATGGTAGCAGAGAGCTCTGACCAAAGGCCTCAGAAAGTGCCATCCTTCCAGGTTTTGTAGACAAAGGCTGATGTCCATAGTAGAAGCCTAAATTGGGATGAGGGTCATCATCTCTCCTTTCTTGGCCATTCAGAACACCATTCCTCCGGACAATGTATATGAAGCCATATACTAATAAACCGCAGGCAGTCACTGAGCTGGGGATTGTGTTTAGGAACGGATGACATCCTCACGTAGTTCCAGCTGGGCCAGCAGCCCCTCACTCCACTTTGTGTACAAAGGGTAAGGAGTCCTCCTCTCTATATAAGGCACATAAATTACACAAACATACAGACAATTTTCCATGCTGAATTGAAACAACACAGCAGGGGAGGATGCTGAAGCTGGCAAAAAGACGAGCATGACACTAACACATTGCCTTGTCGCTGGGCAGGTCAAAGTCCTCCTCATGCCGGGCTGCTCTCAAACCCACTGCACATCCCGAGCGGGACTGAACGCAGAGGCAGAGATGGATTGCTGTCTGCTGGCTGGCTGGAGGTACAGAGCTCTCTGAGGACCCTGGAGCTGCGTGTCTGGCCCATGGTCACCCCCTCACCTTCCGCCTCTCCTTCCCCCTGCGACAGGCCCTCCTGGATCTCTTTGTCTAGCTCCAAGAAGTCCTCTTCACCATCAGAGCAGCTGTCAGTATTATAATCTATTTCTTCCACACAAGGAGGTTCATCATCAGTCTCCAGGCTGCTGTTGCTGCTGCTTCTGCAGAAAAAGAATCACAAGAAAGAGTCGTTAAAAGTCATTAAAAGAGGGTGCTTGTATCTAGTGGGAAGAGCAAGAAACGGGAAATGCATTTCCTGGGTTCAATCCTGGCTCTGCTAATGAGGCATGAGATAACACTAAGCAACATCCTATATGTCTTCGTGTCTGTTTTGCCATCTGTAAAATGAAGAAGAATGCTACTACCTACTTCATAGGAGAAACATATATTATTGTTATTATTATTATTTTTGCTATTGCTTATGTAAAAGTGCAGTTCTTTATATACAGACACCACCATTCCTGTCTTGAGGTGCTTACAAGGCTAAAGAAGCTGAAATACATGCGCGGGAAAGAGGAGGTATTTAGTTACCAGAAGGTTCCTGGTTTAACCATTATTCACCTTGCTGAGGTTCCACATTTAATGTAGGACCTAATTAATCCAGTCAGCTGAAGCACTTTGGCATCTTTGCCTCCTGTTCTGGACCCCTAACAAGAGGCAGCATAATTGGAAAACCGAGGCTCTGGGAACTCTCAGTGCGGTGACTCCACGGAGGGCAACCGCTTTGGAAGGAACACTAACAGTCTTTGGTCACACAACTTCATGAAGGAGGGTCAAATTCAGAGGCAAGTCTGAACAACTCTGGAAAGACTCTAAAATGATGTCACAGCTCCTCTGTATGGCTCTCAGAAAGGCGGGTTACACCGTCTCCTGTCATTTACTTACAGGAATGGTCATAGTCTTTCTTTACATACTTATTTTCAATACATTTTGTATTAAGTTAGCCTAATTTAATATTTATGACAGAACTGCAACTGCTGGACCATGTAGCCTTGGGGGATAAGGCCTTTATCCTACCGAACTGTTTAGTTCCAATTTGGCCCTTGGCCTGGGCGGGCAGCTAGGTGTTTTTTTTGGGATCAGAAAATAGTCGGTAGTTTCAAGGCAGCCTAGGTCAGAATATGGATGAATCAGGGGGACAGATAGTGTTTTCCACCTCCAGGTCAACAGTTTCAATGAGACTCCAAGCAGGAGAATGTATTGCTTTGGGAGACTGGGAAAGGAATAATAATCCTCCACCACTGGGCCAGAGTTTCTAATATGTCCCAAGTTGGGAAGAATGAATGGCCTGGCAGATGCAGTATACACAGCTTTAATGTGTGGTCTGCTCATTTACATGTCAGTAACCGAAATAATCTTCCAGCTCTCAGCTGTTTCACAGCAGTGCCAGCATCTGAGGTTTCAGAACATACCAGAGGTGTAAAGTATTGCTCTTGGACACACTGATCTCTTTTGTCTCTTCTCTGCACTCCAAAAAAGTGTATGATTTTCCCAACATTGGGAAAACAGATCTTAACTGTACACTGCTATTCTGCAAACAGAAACAAGCACTTTCAACCCACTCCTTCTCTGGCTGATCCCTGGCTTAGTTTACTTCAAAGGCAGGGTATAAAGTATCCTCTGAAAGCTTAATAGAGCTGTATAGTTTAAAAATAAATAAATGAATAATTATGCACTTTTACAGTTTCTGGCTGCACTTCAGTCTGCCCAGAAATCTAGGTCAGGAGGAACTCAAACTGAAATCAAGCATGTGACATGAACCAAACCAACCCAAACCAGGACAGCCCTCCCAGCACAAACATTAACCAGTGGGCTCTGCTGAGTCTGACCTCTCACTGCATTTGATTTCTCTCTCTCTTTTTTTATACATATATATATGCACGACATGTACTATAATGGTACCAAGTACCTCTTACAATGTTCAAACCACTTAAGCTCAGGGGAACTAAATCTTTTCATTAATAAGTTCTGTTGTTGCTGCTTTGCAACAGAAAGAACCCAAACGGTTTACTTTCCATATTGCCCTTGCGTGTTTTGGGAGGAGCTGCTAGTGCCACCGGGACAGGACACAGCTACCACCCAGGTATCACCACCTTGTGAGGGAAAGAAAATCTAAAAGATAACAGTGAGAAAAGGAAAAAGAAAAACCAAAAGAACTACCATTTGCTGAAGACTGAAGGTACACAGCAAGGGGAAAACACATATAAAGTCTTTAGGAAGCTAGTATATGTGCATAAATCCTTTGCAACAGAATTTATTAGCTTTCCCTGACAAGACAGCTGCTACCACACTGCCTATAAATCCACATACACAGCACATGAAACCCTAAGATAATGAAGATTCAATTCTTGCACAGATACATTGCAGAGAGGGGTTCTCCCACCTTGGGGATGTGCTTGGACCCCCTCTAGGTATCAGGAAAAAAAAATCTCCGTCTAGTTTGTTCTGTCTTTGGCTCCTTTGCTGTCACTGTGAATGAACAAGCCAATTAACATGGAGCTAACTGGTGGTTTCTCTAATTTGGACAAATACCCTACGACTAACTGGATCAATGCCACCACCTCGAATCACATTACAAGCTACCAAAGAGCAAATAAACGGTACCAACTTTCTCTTGCTGCCAAGTCAGGCTATAATGACCCTAGTGACTTAAGAGTTGAAAGGCTCTTTATCATACTACCAAATTCTACAAAATAACTACATCTCTCTACAACGTGGGTTTTTTCCATCCAGTAATTCCCTCTCTGCTGTGGGAAGATTTAAAACACACAACAAAGCAATACGAATGGTCTAGTTCAAGCTAGCAGGTTGAAGGATCTTTGAGATGAAGACATGGCCCCATGCAGGTGGTGGGGAGCAGGATCAAAACGCACTAGGGAAGCTGCCAAAGTCCCTGCTCGCTGCTTCTCCACACGCACCCCACAGACCTGGTCCCTTAGGGAAGAAAGCAAATGGTGAAACAAGGTGGTGAGTAGAAATGAGAGCTTCTAGACCACTGCATACAGTACAAGTGGGTGAGGTTTTCTTTCTTTTCCAAAAGAAAAGGATTTTTGCTGGGAGCAGGTTCTGTATTTTTTTTATCTGAGTTTTTAGAGCTGTAAAAAAAAAAATCCTGCCCCCCAAACAATCAACCCAAAATCCCCAAAAGACATGAAACATTTACCGAAGAATAATGATGTTGTCTTACGGAAGGTAAACAAAGAGGAAAGCCAATGACATTACATCAGAGAACTCCAAGATAAATACAGTCTATGAATAGCACTGAACGTGGACGCAGTACAGAAGAGGGGGAGGGAAAACTGTTAATATATCTACAGTCCCCAAGCCCCCAGCTATCTCAATGAAACAAGTATGCGCATTGCTTGGTCTACCGATTGAAAACCTACAGCCTCACAGCCCTCCTCTACGCAACCGATGGGAGCCACAACAGCAATTTGCAACTTTATGATGTGCTAAATAGAATTTCTTTGTTTTGATTTTTAATTTGCATATTATTGAGATACGACTTGATCTTAATTAGTTCTGCTTTTGTATGTGGGTGTATTTGTTTGTTTGGTTGGTTTTGGAAAGCAAGTGAGCTTTGGTATCCTGCAAAATAATTCTGCTTTCTCAGTGACTGAACATGAAGAGAAGAGGGGAGCCCCGTGCCTCCCCACCTGTCGGCACGCCACAGCCTCCCGCCACGAGTGGGAAACACTTCCAGGTATTTGCCTCAAACCTCTCCTTCTAAATCGCCTACCTGTTATATCACAGCTGGGCACAAGCCTTGGAAGGCAGCTGGCCTGCTGAA